GGCTTTCCGACACAATAAGTGCTGTTGTTCTGCAGCGTCTCTCCCTTCTGGTTCTGTTTTGCCAACTGACAGAAGCTTTAGACCAAACAGGGGCTCTAATCAGATTCGTCGTGGACACAGATGGTCTCGTAATGATAAAGAGAAGTGGATTCACACCTCTTCAACCAATGATCCAGGTGTGTCCTCAGTCCCTCACCTCAAGAGCCCTCCTTAGGCTCCTTCTTTTACTCCTTGTGGGGTGTTGGGGAGTGGTGTTGAGATGGAGAAGGGTGTGATGTCGGTTTTACCATTGATTAAGCTCGGGTTGAATGCGGAAGGGATAGCTGGCCGCGGGCCTGTCCTTTCTATGTTTGTAGACCCAGAAGTTTGTGCTGTTAAGGATTCGCCTGAGGGGTTCACGGTTTGTGTGGGATGTGATCTTCATTTTCAACTGACAAATGACTTGGCGTTGGCTCTGCTGAAAGAGCTTCGTCTTTGTGTTGCTCTGAAAGGATTTAATTGCTTACCACCTGAAGGGTTAGAGGCGACTGATTCTTTTAACTTCTTGAATTTTGGGAAGGGTGACTTCGCTACAGATACGAAATTGCAAATGGATATATCTGTAAGTGGAATGGATAGTGCAACGGAAGGGATCGACAAATTGGCCTCCATTCAACAGGTCTGTTCCAGCAAGGTTGTCCCATGGTCAGATCAATCTAATATGGGATTGGTGGAACTGCTAGTTGTTGTACGACCCGGCTGCTCTGAAACAGCTGCTGATTTGGGCAAGGAATGGGTAGTAGCAAATATAGCCTGCTTTGAAACAGTTGCTGATTTGGGCAAGGAATGGGTAGTAGCAAATATAGCCTGCTTTGAAACAGTTGCTGATTTGGGCAAGGAATGGGTGGTAGCAAATATAGGGGCTACTAGCGAGCTACTGGGTGTTTCATCAGAGGGCAATAGTGATCAGACATTGTCCATCCTTCATGCAATTGTGGAAGGAAGAGAGGTTGCAGTGGTTGATGAGGTTGTGAAGATGAGACCTTTAGCGTCTTGGAAAGGGGAGCAGGAGGTCAAGAATCTTATTTCTTACGTTAACTATGAAGGGAAGAGAATGGTGGTGAGGGAAAGGGGAAGGACTAGGACTAGGAGTGGAAGAAGGGGAGGAGGGGAGATAATCTTATCTGGTTCTTAATGAAGCTACGAATCATTACTTGGAATGTTCGTGGTCTTAACGATCCAAAAAAAAAGGAGGGTGGTGAAGGTTGCTTTAAGGAAGTGGGGAGCCCAGGTGGTTTGTTTGCAAGAAACTAAGATGGCTTCTATGTTTGATGGGGCTGTTAGGAGTCTTTGGGGAGGTAGGTTTGTGGAGCCTTGAATGCTTCAGGTACCTCTGGTGGAATTTTACTTATGTGGGATCGTAGGTGGTTGTCTCGGATGGATGTTTGGATGGGGAGGTTTTCTGCGTGTTCAAAATGGAGGAGGATAATTTTAGATGGGTTTTCACTTGGGTCTGTGGACCGGTAGTGGATAGTGATAGACCACTCTTTTGGGAGGAGCTTTGCCATGTTTAGGGATCGTGGACTCTTCCTTGGTGTCTGGGTGGGGATTTTAATGCTGCTAGGACCCCGTTAAAGAGGTCCACGAGGGGGAGGTGGTCTCCGGATATGACTCAGTTCTCTGATTTTATTGATGGGCATTTTATCATTGATCTGCCTATGGAAGGGGCAGCCTTTACCTGGTGTAATGGCAGAGACCCAGTTACTTTATCAAGGCTGGATAGGTTCTTGATCTTTGGGGAGTGGGAAGAGAAATTCCCGGATGCTGTTCAGGCGGTTTTAGCACAGGTCACCTCTGATCATGTTCCTCTGGTTCTGGATTGGTAGGGGTTTGAGGTCTCGGTGTTCCTTGTTTCGATTTGAGAATATGTGGTTGAGAGCGGAGGACTTCCAAGGGAGGGTACGGTCTTGGTGGGAGGAAGCAATGGTTACAAGTTCTTCCAGTTTTATGTTAGCTAGGAAGCTCAGAGCTCTTAAAATCGAACTCAAAAGGTGGAATAAGGAAGTTTCCGGGAACCTTGAATGGCGAAAGAATAGAGTCCACGCTGATTTTTCTGAGATTGATCGTCTTGAAGAAGCGGGTGGGGATGTGGAGTCTCTACACTCTAGAAGAGCTTCCCGTCAGGTGGACCTTGTTGAGATTGCCCGTATGGAGGAGATCTTGTGGCGCCAGAAATCCGGGCTTTATGGCTCAAAGAGGGTGACCATAATACGAATTTTTTCCACAGGCTTGCTAATGCCCACAGAAGGAGAAATCATATAGGGCAAATTCGGGTGGATGGTTTGGAGTTGTGGAGGGAGGAAGAGGTGCGTAATGGGATCGCCTCCTTTTACCAGAAGCTATACACCGAGCTGTTAGGATGGAGACCAAGGCTGGACGGGCTTCATTTTGAGGCTATTTCTGAGGTGGATAAAGATGGTCTTGAGATGCCTTTTTCCGAAGAGGAAGTGCTTAAGGCTTTGTCGAGCTGCAATAGCGACAAAGCCCTGGGGCCAGATGGGTTTACTATGCGATTTTTATTGGAAAGTTCAGAGGTGGTGAGAAATGAGGTGATGGGAACCTTTCAGGAGTTTCATTCTAACGGAGTTTTCGAGAAGTCTTTAAATGCCTCTTTCATTGCCCTCATCCCTAAGAAGATATTAAGGATTTTAGACCAATTAGCCTTGTGGGTTTCATTTACAAGCTTATTGCTAAGGTTCTTGCTCTTAGGATGAGGGATGTCATGGATGGGATTATTTCGGATTCCCAGAATGCTTTTGTCGGAGGATGATAGATTCTTGACTCAGCTCTTATTGCAGGCGAATGTGTTCCAGATTGTGAAGTGGAGTCCCTGGAGTTTTATGCGAACTTGACATTGAAAAAGCTTATGATCATGTTAACTGGAATTTCTTGTTGTACTTGCTTTAGAGAATTGGGTTTGGTAGTAGATGGAGGAAATGGATAGAGGCATGTCTTTCGTTCGTAAAGTTCTCTGTTCTCGTGAATGGATCTCTTGCTGGTTTCTTCGGGTGCTGTAGAGGTTTGAGACAAGGTAATCCCTTGTTGTCTTTTCTCTTTCTTGTCGTAATGGAGGGCTTGAGTAGACTTATGAGGAGGGTAGAGGATCTCGGTCTTATCAAGGGCTTTAGGGTGGGCAGAGACTTAGCTCATCAAATGGAGATTTCTCATCTCCTGTTTGCAGATGATACTTTGGTCTTTTGTGATGCTGATGTGTCTCAACTTTGATATTTGAGGTGCATTCTGGTTTGTTTTCAGGTGTTTTCTGGATTGAAGGTCAATGTGGCTAAGAGTGTGCTTGTTCTGGTTGGGGATGTTCAGGACATTTTCTCCTTAGCTACAGTTCTAGGGTGTAGGGTGAGTTCTTTCCCTATTCCTTATTTGGGTCTGCCTTTGGGGGGCTCCTCTAGGAAGGTGGGGAGTTGGAACCCTGTGATAGATAGATACATTAAGAGGTTGGCTGGATGATGGAAGCAATATCTGTCGAAGGGGGGAAAAGCTACTCTCATAAAGAGTACTCTCTTGAGCTTGCCTACTTATTTTTTACCTGTGTTCCAAATCCCATGTTCTGTTGTTGAAAGGATTGAAAAGATCCAAAGGGATTTCCTCTAAGAGTTTAAGAATCATCTCGTCAGGTGGGAGCAAGTTTGCAAGCCCATCAAGTTTGGTGGTCTAGGTATTCCGAGGTTGGTTCCTTTTAGCCAAGCTCTCTTGGGTAGATGGTTGTGGAGATTCGGCAGGGAAATGCATCGCCCTTGGAGAAGGCTCGTTTCATGTTGTTTTGGGAAAGAGAGTGGCGGGTGGTCTACTCGTCCAGTCTCTATTGCGGGAGGAGTTGGTGTGTGGAAATCCATTCGGAAGGGCTGGGATGTCTTCTCTTCCCATATTAGATTTAAGGTGTATGACGGTAGATATGTTCGTTTTTGGGAGAATTTATGGTGCGGTGATCAACCGTTGTCTTGCACCTTTCCAAGTTTGTACAACATCGCCACCGATAGACATGCCTACGTAGTTGATTGTTATTGGCTTGATAATAGTGGGATTACATGGGATGTGAACTTTCGTCGTTCCTTTCAGGATTGAGAGATGGACGAGGTATGTGTTCTTCTGGATATGTTGTATAAACAGGAGGCAATTGGTAGAGGTAGTGATGATATTAGGTGGATCCCCTCGTCCCATGGTCGATATGAAGTACGATCCCTGTTTCGATGCCTAACCAACTTTGTTGGCATTGGTTTTCCATGGAAGACCATATGGCGTTCTACTGCTCCTCCTAGAGTGGCATTTTTTTTGTTTGGACAGCTGCATGGGGCAACATTTGGACGATTGACAATTTGAGGAAGAGAGGCAATTGTATTGTTAATTGGTGTTGCCTTTGCAAACGAGATGGTGAGTAAGTGGATCATATCCTCTTGCATTGTCCAGTGGCGTACGACTGTTGGAACCTTATATTTGGTTTATTCGGTATGTTTTGGGTAATGCCTGGATCTTCCAAGGGATTGATTAACGCATGGAGGGGATGCCGTGTGAGAAGCAGTGTTCACGACTATTGGAGGACAGTTTCGCATTGTGTTTGGTGGTGCATTTGGAAGGAGAGGAATAGTAGAATGTTCGAAGGGAAGGAGTCGTCCATGGCGACACTGAAACTTCATATTATTCATTCTATTTTTAGTTACGTGAAGAGGAGTTCTTGCTCCTCTTCCGACGACTTAGTTAATTTTTTGGATTCTTTGGGTCCTTAGAATCCAGTTCCACTCTTGTTATGGGACGTCTTCCCTTTTGAACGCTTCTTAATCGATTATTATTTATCAAAAAAAAAAAAATTGAAATCTTGCTTGTCAAAAAAAAAAAAGAAAAAAGAAAAAAAAAAGAGCATTGATGGTAAAAGGATGGATTAGAAGAAAAAGCTTGCTATTTTGCTAAAGGAGAAAAAAAGAACGCTAGTGTGCCAAAGGAAGTTGGGATTCATAATTTCAATGACCTATGATTCTGTATTGGTGAACAAGTATTTTGAAGGAAGATGTTAGATAGACTTTTAGCTATATAAGAGAAAAATAACACCAAATCTAGCATGTTCATTCATAACTAAGTGGAAAGCTAGTATGAGTCTTTAATAAAGCATGTCATAAAAGCATCTCTCCCTAGTGTTTACTCTTTTTGGTTTATTCATGGATAATACATTTGTTAGTAACTTGCTATTTCTTAGCACTTATGCTTATTGGCGTTCAATTTCTCCTTAGCTTGTCATCTTAGCATTTATTATTACTAGTTTCCATCAAATAGAACTTTTATTGCTCAGAAATATAATAACAACACAATGTCTTCCTTTATGTGTGGTATAAATTCACTCATAAGGGGTTAATGCGCCTTAATATAACTTATATAAGCTTAGTGGGGTTGAACATCAAATTTTCTTTACTTGAGTTGTTTTTGTAATGGCCATTTGCATCGATCATAGCCATACACATTATGCATTTCCTTATGTCAACATCTTGTCTTGCTATGCATTCATTTTTTCTCAGATTAACAAGCATAAGGATGCGGCTCAAGACGAGAATAGCCAATTTATATAAATATAATGTCAAAATGTTAGGTCTGTCTCTATCCTTCCTCTTCCCACGCCTCCCGGTATCCAACGCGGGCAAGACCAAGACTAGATGATTATTGCATTCATTTTTTGAAGGGAATCCCATGATATGATTTATCAAAGCGTCCTATCAAAAATTTGTAGTAACAAGACCTAAATGAAAGCAAAAAATCTCTAGTATTTAAAATTACTAACTGCTAGTATATCAAATAATAATGGCTTATAAATTGTTATAGATTTGTTTTCCCGGTGATCAGTACCATAGCTCAAAGGATCACTAAGCCATAAATCAAAATAATAGGATAATAGTAATAATAATAGTAGGGAAGCATCGAAAATGTCTCACTTGGAAGTCAAAATCAGAGTCCGTATTTATTTGTATAATTGTATTGCTAGCTTTGTTAGTTTTTTAAAAGTTAATGTCAAGGCAGTTACCACTTGGTTACTTATCAAAAAGGAAAATAAAAAGAAAAGAAAAGAAGGTACTTACCTCTTGGTCATGGTTAAAGATGGAATTCAAGCTTCTAGCAAAAACAGAACCATAATTTTGAAGCCAAGGGTATAAAGGTAATATGATAGTATTATGTGCGCTCACCAAAATTCATTCATGCAGTAGGGTTTTTATACTTAATGTTTTGATTTGAAAAATCCTAATTGAATTGTATAAATGTGTTTTTGGGAACTTCGATCTGATCAATTGAAGGTTGCTGGTTGCATGTCGATCGATCAATCAACCGATTTTCTGGATTAGGGGTTTCTTTTGGGATTAAAACACTAAAATCCTACTCTCTATAATTTTGTTGTCTATAAATACCTCATTATCTCAAAAAACCTGGACATGCATAAAGATACAGAAGCTAGAGAGCTAGGAAGCACGGACACTCCGAAATAGGCAAAGAATCCGTGTCGGACACGTGTCGGACACGTGTCGGACACGGCCTGACACGTGTCGGACACGGCAAAAAGCGTGTCTGGAATTTTTTATTTTTTTAAAATTTTCGGACACGAATTGGACACGGCACGGACACGGCACTGACACGCGTCCGACACGCCAGGGTGTGTGTCCGACACGCGTGTCTTATTTTTGGGGGTTTAAAAGATAATTTTTAAAAGAAAGTTGGGTTAAAGTACAAATATATAAAGTTATTTACTTACTTATGTGGTCAGAACATAATAATTTTAAACTTTCAAGGTTAATATGTAATTTTAAACAAAAGAGATAGATATTTAAGGCAGTCATTACACTATTACAAGGTCAGATTCAAAGGACGGGGGTTGTGCTCTCTCAAACTGACGACGAAGCTTTGCAACTTCCTGCTGCAGATCAAAGCGACTCCTTCCAGCCTCCAGGTCAGTCTCTCTCTCTCTTTCTCTCTCTCTCTCCTCTCTTTTCTTCCTCCTCCTTCCTCTTTTTTTTCTTTTTCTTCACAAACCCTAGTTTCTTTCTTTCTTCTTCATTTTTTTTTTTCTTTTTCCTTTTTCACAAACCCAGATTCTTTCTTTCTTCTTCATCTATTTTTTTTTTGTTTTTTTTTTCGTTTTCCTTTTTCAAAACCCCAGTTTCTTTCTTTTTCTTTTCTCTCTCCTTTGTTTTTTTTTTCCCCTGTTTTTCACTAACCCCAGTTTCTTTCTTCTTCATCTATTTTTTATTTTTTGTTTTTTGTTTTCCTTTTTCAAAACCCCAAATTCTTTCTTTTTCTTTTCTCTCTCTCCTCCCCCCCCTCCACTAACCCCAGTTCACAAACCCGTCTTCTTCTTTTCTGGTATTTTTCCTTTTTTACAGACCTTAATTTCTTTCCTAATTTCTTTCTTCTGCTTCTTCTTCTTCTTCTTCTTCTTCTTCTTCTTCTTCTTCTTCTCTGTTGTCTTTATTCTTGCTTTAAATTTTAGCTTGTGTGAGTCGTGACATATGACTTATGAATCTGTAGCAAATAGGAATTTATTTTTTCTTTGCTGACTGTTCTTTCTTTGCTGACTGCTGTAAGTATGGATTTTTTTTCTTTTCTTTTTATGTCTAGGGAATTAGACATGTCATTGTCTACATCAGTTGCTAGTTGTACTCCTCAATTCGAACAAGATGATAACAAACCACTTTGGAACTATGTCACACAATTAGAAAAAATTGGTGGTGGAGGAAATTTTTTATTCAAATGCCACTTTTGTAATAACGAATTCAGGGGGTCTTATACAAGAGTTAAAGCCCACTTGTTGCAGAACACTGGTATGGGTATTCGTATATGTCCAAAAGTCACATATCAGAATATTGCAGAAATGCAAAAAGCAATTGAAGAAGCCGAATTGAGAATTAAAAATTCTAAACCAAAAAAAGTTCCTTTGCCGCCGTCTAGTGCATCATTGGGTGGTACTACTAGTCTCACTCAGGAGGCTTATGTACCAAAGAAAAGAAAGGCAAGTGGGGGTGCCATTGGGAAGGCATTTAATAATGAGGCTCGGGAACAATTGCACTCAGAGATTGCTAGGATGTTTTATTCCGCAGGATTGCCGTTTCATCTAGCAAGAAACCCGTATTATGTGAGTTCATACAACTATGCTGCAAATAATCCTCTGTCAGGTTATTTGCCTCTGGGTTATAATCTATTGAGAACCACTCTACTTCAAAAAGAAAAGGCAAATATTGATAGATTATTGCAACCAATTAGGAGTACATGGAAGGCAAAGGGTGTTAGCATTGCAAGTGATGGTTGGAGTGATCCACAAAGGCGGCCTTTAATTAATTTTATGGCTATGACAGAAGGAGGTCCCATGTTTTTGAAAGCTGTTGATTGTTCCGGTGGAATTAAAGACAAGTTTTTCATTTCCAATTTGTTGAAGGAAGTCATAAATGAGGTTGGCCCCCAAAATGTGATCCAAGTAATTACAGACAATGCCCCAAATTGCAAGGCTGCTGGACAACTAATTGAAGGGCAATTCCCTCACATTGTTTGGACACCTTGTGTGGTCCATACTCTTAATCTTGCCCTCAAAAATATTTGTGCTGCAAAAAATGTGGAAAAGAATGAAATTGCATATGCAGAGTGTGGTTGGATTCTTGATTATGCTGATGAGGTTACAATAATAAAGAATTTCATCATGAACCATTCAATGAGATTAGCTATTTTCAATGAGTTTGTCAGCTTGAAGTTGCTTTCAGTTGTAGAGACACGCTTTGCTTCTGTTATTGTGATGATGAAAAGATTTGAACTTATAAAAGGTGGTCTCCAAGCAATGGTCATAAGTGACAAGTGGACTTGCTATAAGGAGGATGATGTAGGAAAGGCCGATTATGTGAGAGAGAAGCTGTTGGATGAATGGTGGGGAAAGATTGATTATATCCTTTCCTTTACTTCACCTATTTATGACATGCTAAGGGCTTGTGATACCGATAAGCCTTGTCTTCACTTAGTTTATGATATGTGGGATACAATGATTGAAAAAGTGAAGATGGCAATATATAGGTATGAAAGAAAGCGACAAAGTGAAAGTTCTTCCTTTTATGAAGTGGTGCATGGGATACTTGTAGCTCGTTGGAACAAGAACAATACTCCGCTTCATTGCTTGGCACATTCACTAAATCCAAGGTAAATCATTAGATATTAATTTGTAAGCTAAAGAAGTTTTAATCTTAGTTTAGAATTAAGGAAATTAAATTATGAATTAAATGCATTCTCTTATTTATTGTAGGTACTATAGTGATGTGTGGCTTAGTGAAGACCAAAGTCGAGTTCCACCACACAAGGATTTAGAGGTCTCAAGAGAGAGAACAAGGTGCCTTAAAAAATACTTTAGTGACCCATAAGAGCGTTCAAAAGTCCAATTGGAGTATGCTAATTTTTCATCAAACTCGGGGGAATTTGGGGAGAGTGATTCTATATGTGATAGATATACCATGGATCCTAAAAGTTGGTGGGTTGTACATGGTTCATATGGTCCCTTGCTTCAAGAGTTAGCTTTGAAGTTGCTTGTCCAGCCTTCTTCCTCCTCATGTTGTGAGAGGAACTGGAGTACTTATTCTTTTATTCACTCATTGAGAAGGAACAAGATGGCGCCACAACGGGCTGAAGATTTGGTTTTCATTCATAGTAATCTCCGTCTTCTGTCAAGGAGAACCCCACAGTACAATGAAGGACGAACTAAGATGTGGGATATTGCAGGAGATGCATTTGATTCATTTGGTGATGTTGGGGTGCTTGAGGTTGCAAACCTCTCACTTGATGAGCCAGAATTAGAGGCGGTATTATTTACCGATGATGGAAGTGTTAATGATGATGAGATTCATGAGACAATTGATGATGAACAACAATAGATGAATGCTGATATGTTCTTTTTTTTTTTTGTTTTGGACTACCCTTTTGGTATTGTAAATGGTAAAGTCCTAGGTCAAATGATGGATGGGAATAGATGATAGTACATTGACTTGTTTTTGTATCTTTTTTGGGACTAGCCTTTAGGTTTTTGTGAATGTTAAGTGCTAACAGTACAGTCCTGAATGTTAAACAATCATGAATGTTAATAGTCCTTTCAGTCTATGCTTTTGTATTTGGAGTAAAGTTGCAATGATGATTAAATGATACTAGTTATTATTCTAATATCTTGTTTTTTATTTGGTTTTATAACTCTGCAACATTGTTCTTTTATAGTTTATTAGTTATAAGTTATGATTTGTATATATTTTCCATTGTGAGGTTGATGAAAAATAGTAACACTCGGTAATTTTTAAAGTACTACATCATATATATATATATATATATATATATATATATATACATATATATACACTATTCGCCGTGTCCGTGTCCTAATTTTTTTGGATTTGCCGTGTCGCCGTGTCCGTGTCGTGTCGTATCCGTGTCCCGTATCCGTGTCCGTGCTTCTTAGCTAGAGAGATTTTGAGCACAAGAGCGCATGCATATTCCTAGTACAGTTGCACAAAATCCAAAAAGCCCACTATACCCTCAAGACTATCCTCAAAATCAACAAAATTCCCCTTAGATTTTATTTTTTCTATGAACCCCAAAAAATGAAAAAAACTAAGAATGGAAAACTTATTCGCCTAAATATGAGCCTCCACTCCATCGAAGCATCTTGTATAATTCTATTCCTCTCTTGCCATAAGCCCACCACATACAAAGGGACGCAACCGGCCAAACATCTCAGGCTTGAAGCCCCACTCTACAACCTCGACAAGCACTTAAGAGTGCTCTTTGTGGAACCTGGCATAACCCAATGAATACCAAGGATAGATAAGAGCATGACCCAGTCTTCCACAGCCACTGGATGATTAACCCTTTCGTCATCGTTTTTTTGCACTTGCAGCTTCAATTGACAATGATTTGATGCCTCCGCCTCAAATTGTCCATTGTCAAATCTTCCCCAAAGCTGTCATCTACCAGAAGAAAGCCAGCCTAGGGGGAGCTTAGTACACCAAACTGCCTTCCAAGGGAAAGAGTTCCCTTGAGGATCTGACAACCTCTGAAAGAAGGACCGCACTTCGAATCTCCTATGACCGGAATCCGACCAAACCACTCCAACTCCTCAACAACCACAAACTGACGATATAGCAACGTCGCCAATGGCCTCCAACTCCCAATCTTGGTAGTGCCTTACAAATGCAAATCCCTCCCACTAATAAGCTGATAGCAGTTGACATTTGAGATTTTCTTAACGACAACAATCCTGAACAATCCCGGGAAAACACTTGTTAGCAATCTTTTCCCACACCAAGCGTCCTGCCAAAAGCTTATGTGCCTCCCACTCTTTACCCTGAAGTGATTATGTCTTAAAAATTCATCCCACCCCCTCCGGATGAATTTCCAAACACCCACCACTGTCGTAGCCCTCACCTTCAATTAACACAACAAATTTACCTCAAAGGTTAATTATCCTCCACCGGCACAATCTCACTCTTTTAAAGGTTAAATTTTAGCTCAGACACTGCTGAAAACACACCCAACACACACCTCAAAAAGCTCAACTAAGCCTTGTCCGCATCACACAAAACTAGGTATCATCAACAAACAAAAGATGAGATACCGCTACCTGGCTAGAGGACTCCCTAGGGAGATAGGGGATCTCCTTGCTTCAAGCCCCGCAAGCTGTTGAAAACTCTGACCATAGAAATACAGAATCGAATCCATCTCATCCATCCCTCACTAAATCCCATCCTCTCCAAAACATACAGCAAGAATCTCCAATCCACATGATCATATACGCCTTCTTGATGTGAAGCTTGCACACAACTCTCGGCAGTCCACTACTCAGCTTGGAATATACACACTCACTAGCAATGAGAACATAATCCAAAATCTGCCGCCCTCCAACCAAAGCATTTTGAGACTCCGAGATCATCAATGACTCTCTTCAACCTTAAAGCTAGGAATCTAGCTATTATTTTGTACCTACTACCGCCAAACTAATAGGTCTAAAGTCCTTTACTCTAATTTCCCCCCCTCTTCCTCCCCTCGTATTTTGGTGATGAGCACAATAAAGGTAGCATTCACGTACTTCTCAAAGCTCCCATTCATGTTGAAAAAGTTAATAACATCCATCACTGCATTTCTGACCACCTTCCAATTCTGCTGGAAGAACCCCATTGTGATCCCATCTAGTGCCGGGCCTTTATCCCCGTTGCATCTCTTCAAAGCTAGAATTACTGCCTCGACAAAAAATCTCTCCAATCTAATTTTTTCCTCCTCTAAAATTAGATCAAACTCCAGACCATTCAATAATGGCCTTCAAGGAGTACGCTTTGAGTATAGCTGACGAGGCAATCCCTCTACTAATATCATCCTCCTTGTTCAATAATGTACCATCACCATGAATTCTCCCAATATTATTACTCCTATGTGCATTGGGCAATCCATAAAAGAACATGATTTTTCTACTCCTTCCTTAAGCCATAAAGCTCTAGACTTCTGGCGTCGTGAAATTTCCCCCAGAATCGCAATCCCGCCCATACCTGCCTCACATTCCCCCCTCCTATGTTGCTTCTCATCACTCAAACCCATCACCCCTTCCTTTGAATCTAACTTGACAATCTCCATCAAAAATCATTTCTTACGCCATTTAAGATTACTGAATATTCCATTTATTGTTTACTAGGACAAAGCTCGGGTTGTTCCTCATCTCAAAACCATCCCACCACCTCCTAAACCTCTCCTTGAAATCCTCTGCCCGGAGCCTCATGTTTTCGAATCTAAACATCGTTTTCTTCTTCTTCAAATCCACATAATCCAATAACAACGGGATACGATCCGAAAACGGTTTGGCCAATGCAACCTGACCTATTCAATCAGGATAGAGTGGGGATCTGCCGACCATGCATAAGAAAAGCCCTCCATCAGTAAGTCAATCAGTTGTTGAGCATCGATGAACTTCGAGAATTGCTTTATGGCTGTAGACCATCTCCCTCAGATATAGACCTCTCAAAAGGAAATATAATAACATTAAACTTCCCGCCCCAAACACCATGGGGCCTCCCACCTCCTTGGAGCATACTCTAACTACTCCCACTATAAACCCCTCTCCCCATCCTCAACTGGGCCATAAACCCTTGAAAACACCCAGCAAGAACCATCTTCCTCCAACGAAAATAAGCAAGAGATAAAAAATCTCCCCTTCCAAACATTAGTCTTGGACACCCATCTCTTGTCCTAGATGACTAAAATACTCCCTACCAAGCCAATGGCATCTAGAACCTCCCATGCAACAGATCTCCCACCTTATAAACTCATAACAATCCCATATGACTGTGCATACTATATTTCTATGGACCTGAATAGAAGATTAACACCTAACAATCATACATTCGAGATTGTGTGGATGATTAGTTTGCAGATCAAATTACTATTTAAGAAGTGGATCGTGTGTGCAGTGCTCTCCGTTAACAGAGCGGACTGCATGCCTAGAGACTTTGAGTGTGAGTTTAATGAACCAGTCTATGTCAAAAGGTATCTAGGGGTTCTGCGGTTATTGAACTGTTAATCTTGTGTAATATCTCTTTCCTATAGTGAGTTTGATCTTACTGGATCTGGTCTCGTGGTTTTTTTCTTTTGGGGGTTTTCATGCAAAAATCTTGGTGTCCATTGTGCTTGCTTTCATCTTATTGCATGTGTTGATTAAGAATGATGGTTTGATTGATTATTGTAGTCTAGTGTTGGTTTAATTTTTTGTTATTATGTAATTTAGATCTACCCTCCCTTTTAATAACTTTGCAATTACTTTGTCAGAGCTTAGGGTTTTTTTTTTTTTTTTTTTTTTTTTTTTTCATAATTTATCAGAGCTTAGGGTTCCGGTCCTTATCTCATCACCTGTTCTTGTTTGCTTTTAGAAGATTAGACTGAGCTGTAGACTGTCACATATTTTAGAATTAATCTTCATTTATTGATGCTTATTTTTATTGGTAGCATAGGGGGAAGGGTAAGAGGGTCTCACCAATGAAGAGAATACAAAATCATAATTCTATTAAGCAATGACAGTAATTATAGGGTCTGTTCCGTTTAATTATCTGAAAACTGTTTTTAAGAGCTGTGAAAACAGTTTTCATATATATATATATATATGTTTTTTGATAAGTAAAATTGTATTAGAAAGCGTTCAAAAGGGGAACGCGTCCCAAGAGCTATACAAATACCGAAACCAAAAAGGGAGTCCTATGGACCCAAACAACCCAAAAAGTCTACGATTTCATCTAAAGATATACAATTTCTCCCCATAACCCAACTAAAAAAGAACAAATAATAGAAAACTTCAACGCCCCAATGGAGGATTCCTCCCCATCAAAACATCTTCTATTCCGCTCTTTCCAAAGGCTCCACCAAACACAGAGGGGGGTCACCCTCCAATAGTCATGAGCATGAGCCCCCACCCTTTGATCACGTCAATCAAATCCCTTGAAGTCCGGGGCATAACCCATTGCATGCCAACAGACCCAAAATAAGAACTCTAGCAATCATGAGCCACGGACAATGCAAAAGAAGGTGATCCGCACACTCTCCATCATTCTTACACAGACAACACCAGTTGACTATGATTTGTCTTCTTTTTCTCAAATTTTCCAGAGTCAAAATCTTGCCCCAAGCTGCAGTCCAAACAAAAAAGGCCACACTAAGAGGATCCATCGAATGCCAAATCGTTTTTCACGGGAAATTGGAACCGCGAAACCCGGAGAGGCAGAGAAAAAAGGAACGGACCTGAAAAGTCCCTTGCGAAGAAGGCACCCAAGTCAAGGAATCCGAACCTGTACCATCCACCTCCTGTCTATACAAAAGGTCCAGCAAGCCAGTGACGTCGTCCAACTCTCAATCCTGAAAGGATCGCAGGAACCGCTCATCCCAAGACAACCTACTGCTATCGAGTCGATAACAGTTGGCTACCAAAACATGTCTATCCACAGCAATCCTGAACAACCTTGGGAACAAACATGACAATGGGCGATCCTTGCACCAAGTATCCTCCCAAAACCGGACGTCCCTTCCCTCTTGAACTCTGAATCTAATATGCTTAGAGAACTCATCCCCTCCCTTCCCAATGGGTTTCCACACCCCCACGCCGATATCAGATCTGACCGGCCTAGATGACCATTCCTGTCTCTCCTCCCCAAAACGACATGAAACAACCTTCCTCCATAACCTATGTCTTTTGCTACCGAATCTCCATAACCACTTGCCTATGAAGTCTGTTATCTGAATTAAAACCTTTCTTCAACTCAGTTTTCAGAATATTGTGTCAACCAAATGGATTTTTGAACTTTCAGTTCTTTGAGAGCTAAAAACTGCTCCACAAAATTGAATCAAGCAAGTTCTATATCTTGTTAAATTGTTATTTTGAGAAACTGTGTTAAACAGGTATATAACGGGATATAACTTAGTTTTACTACTATATTATGAATTTGAGTACTTAAAAATCATAAGATTGAATCTAGAAGATAATTTTTTTTGTTATTTTATTTACTACGGCATATAAATTATAGCAACGAGATAAAACTGTAATTGAGTCTCCTTGATACAGAAAACTTGGATACTGTTTACAAATTTATTTTATTTTTATAGCTTAGTAATTTCTTAGCTCCTTTTCCAGCCTGCTTAGAAACTAAATTCTAAGTAAAATTCTCAACGTGATCACAAAGAAATTTAATAATGAATTTGTGAAAATCATCACTTGTCCATAACCTTTTCTATTTTAAAAAATGTGCCTAATTCATTTTTCTTTTCTTTTTTTATTGGTCTTAGTATTTTTATAGGATTATGTAGAGAAGCTTTCTAGTTACATTAAAAGGTCAAGGAATCAAAGGCCTCAATTACTCTAGAGGTGTTCATAATCCAGTTGAGAGTGGTTCTCATGCTTTTATGCTGTCGAGCTTCTTGAGCTCTGGACCGCCTTGTGCATTTTTGAGAAACTGTGTTAAGCAGGCATATAACGGGATATAACATAGTTTTACTACTATATTAGGAATTTGAGTACTTAAAAATCATAAGATTGAATCTAGAAGATAATTTTTTTTGTTATTTTATTTACTAGGGCATATAAATTATTGAAATGAGATAAAACTGTAATTGGGGTCTCCTTGATACAGAAAACTTGGATACCATTTACAAATTTATTTTATTTTTATAGCTTAGTAACTTCTTAGCTCTTTTTCCAGCCTGCTTAGAAACTAATTCTAAGTAAAAATATCAACCTGATCACAAAGAAATTTAATAATACATTTGTAAAAATCATCACTTGTCCATAACCTTTTCTATTTAAAAAAAAAAGTGCCTAATTCATTTTTCTTTTCTTTTCTTTTCTTGTCTTATTTTTTTATTGGTCTTAGAATTGTTATAGGATTATGTGGAGAAGCTTTCTGGTTACATTAAAGGGCAAGGAATCAAAGGCCTCAAAGACTCTAGAGGTGTTAATAATCCAGTTGAGAGCGGTTCTCATGCTTTTAGGCTGTCAAGCTTCTTGATCTCTGGACTGCCTTGTGCATTTTTATGAGGGTAGTTAAAGCTATCATTTCTTGGATGAACTGATGAAGGTTGCACATGCTTGCTCACTTGGAAATGTCAAGTCGGGAAAAATATGTGGGTCTCCAAATTTCATAGTTTTGGGTATTTGTAGTGGGTAAAGAGTAGGAAATGAACTGACACAATTTCTCTCCCAAAAGCACATTCCACTCCACGGTTGTCCCAAAAAATATTCTTGCAGTCACTTTTTGGGGGTAATTGCTTCATTTCCTTTATTAAAAGATCAAGTGGACTGAGTTTTTTTGTGGAGTGCGAATATCATCACATTCTCTTTTTTTGCCCTTTTGTTTTGTAGGCTTTGGTGGGAAGGACTAACGTGCTGTAATGCAACACCTTATCTTTATTGGTTTTTCATATTTGTTTTCTTATTTTTCTGCTTCTCTTTTTAGGTATCATCTCAAGAAGAAAAAGGATTCGGGTGTTTCAAGAGTGGGAAATTTCACAAATCTGGGACGTGTAACGTGTGCTCCACTCCTTGTTCATCTTGTTTGCATATTAACCAAACTCTCATGGGGTCAAAGGCTGATGAATTTTATGATGAAACTTACCGAGGAAGTGCTTTTAGCCAGTATTCTGTTAATGACGTTGCACCCCCTCCTAAGAGCAGTGCATTTGACTGTGGACAGCATACTGCCAGTGAAGCAAGTAACTTATTCATTGTTAACTCGTGCCATGATTCATTTTCTGAAAATGCAGAAAGTAAAGCAAGCTTGAGGACTTCTGATGTATCTAATGCATCCGAAGATGTTGAGATGTCTTCAAAATTGTCATCTGGGGAAAGTGCTGTGGATGATCAGCTCCTTTTAAAACCACAATGCTCTTCTGATCAGAGAGATTGTACTAACAAGTTTGGGGACCCAAAAGGTTCGGAAGGTTACAATGGCACCATTTTGTCTGTTAGTGGAGCTAATGATGCAAAAATATTGGCCGGTTACAATAATGGGAATGTAGAAAGAGAATATGTACCTCACAGTTTGGCTTCAACTAGCATTTTAGTTTCCGAAGGATTTGTAAAGACAGTTCAAACTGATATAGGCTGTTTGAATATGAATTGTGATGTTGAAGGGAGCCACAGCTTGAGGAGGTGCGGCAAATATAGTGAAAAATGTATTGGGAAGGTGCCTCCTACTGTTATATCAACTGAGTTATCTTCCCCCAAGGTAGATGTGATGGGGATTTCTCCCTCAACAGGCATGGATGATGGCGCTAGCTCAGCAAAGGTACAGAATACATGTTCTCATCCCCCCAGTGACCAAACTCTTTCCTATGACCCAAAGGTGAAGAACTTGGAAGATAATCCAAGGTTTCATCTTGAGGGGGAATTGCCTGAATTGACAAAAGATGAAGCATCTGATATTGTTTTTGTGCATAAATCTGCTTCATACAAATGTGGTGATACTCAGAATAGTAAAGTCAGTCTTATTGCACAAAATTCTGAGGCTTCAGGGGTAGTTTCTTTAAATTTAGAATCAGAAACAGGCAATGCTGAGAGCGAACTGCCTGCTGAAGCTTTGAATTCTTCTGAACGAATGGAGGAGGATGAGAATGTCAAGGAGTACCTTGTGTCATCTGATGGGCAGGAAACTTCTTTGCAATCCCAGCCCATGGATGAGAGTGATGAGTCTGATATTGCGTCGCTGGACGTAAGTATTGCTGCTCTCTCTCTCTCTCTCTCTTTTTTTTTTTTTTTTTTGGTGCTGTTAGGAGTTTGGATGCTTTTTTTGTTTATGTTGGTTGAATATCTTTGTTTGACTATCTAACTCAGGATTGTTTATGTTTTTTTTAATGCTTAAGTTTTTCTTCTTCTTCTTCTTCTTTTTTCCTGTTGCTATTTCGACATAGAAATTTTATGCTAATTGGACAAGATAAGCACAAGATATACATCTCTAATTCATGTAATAATGTATTACTCATTTGAAGTGGAGGTATCTCTACCTTTTACAAATTGGGATGTAGGATTTGTTGTTTATGTCGTGCACCTATCATCTTGTAAGCAATTCGTTTTGAATATAATATTTTGTTGAGAGAGTGAGAGAAAAAGAGAATATATGAAAACTTATATGTTATTGAGTCAGTAATACAATAGTACAATGGTGTTTATATAGGAGAAGCTACAAGAGTAGGTGAGTGGAGAACAAGTAAACCCTATATATGGTAATTCTATACCTGGTAATGAGGGGTAGGTGACAACTCATACAATACTAACTGTACACGTGTGATAACTCATATAATACTGTACAACGTGACAACTCTTACAATACTTACAACACTCCCTCTTAAGTTGGAGAGTAAATGTCAATAACTCCCTACTTGCTACATATGGAATCGATAGAGTTCTTGGGAAGCGCCTTAGTGAAGATGTCTGCCAACTGTCTACCAGAAGGAACAAAAGGTGTAACAATCTTTTTTTTTTTTTTTTTTTTTTTTTTGATAAGTAAATTGTATTAAAAGCGTTCAAAAAGGGGAACGCGACCCAAACTATACAAAGACAAAACGGAGCCTATGAATTCAAAGAACTCATAAAGTCAACAATCTCCTCAAGAGAGGAGTAGTCTCTCCCCTGACCCCAATCTTATTCGAGTCAACTTTAGATTGAGTGAAATGGCAATCTACTTCAATGTGTTTAGTCCTCTCATGGTAGACTGGATTGCTAGCACTATGAATAGCTGTCTGGTTGTCACAATGGAGAGGAATTGGGTATTGGATTGAAATCCCAAGTTCCTGTCAAAGAGTTTTCAACCAAGTAAGTTCACAGGCATTGTGTGCCATGGCACGATTCTCTGCTTCAGCACTGGAATGAGCCACAACTGACTGTTTCTTACTTCTCCAAGTTACTAGATTTCCTCCTATGAAGGTGCAGTAACCTGTGGTGGACCGTCGATCGGAAGGAGAACCGGCCCAATCTACATCTGTGTATCCCTCAATCCGAAGATGTTAAGAAGATCGATAAAGCAGACCACGTCCTGGAGCACCCTCGAGATACTTCAAGATGCATACAACTGCCTTCATGTGAGGTACCTAAGGACTGGTCATGAATTGACTCACAACACTGACTGCATAGGAGATGTCTGGACAAGTGATTGTGAGGTAAATAAGTTTACCTACAAGTCTCCGATACATCTTTGGATCATCGAGTGGGTCACCATCATCCACCTTAAGTTTTACATTAGTCTCCATGGGTGTAGCTACCAGTTTCGAACTAAGATATCCAGTATCCTGTAAGAGATCAAGAGTATACTTCCGTTGAGAAAGACTAATGCCTTGCTTCGACCGAGCCACCTCAATTTCTAGAAAATATTGAAGTTTTGCCCAAATCCTTAGTGAGGAAGTTAGAACTCAAGTGATGGATTAGAACTTGTATCCCATCTTTGTCACTGCCGGTGATAACGATATCATCTGCATACACCACAAGAATCACAATACCACGTTTCATTTTCTTAAAAAAGAGAGAGTGGTCAGCCTGGCTTCTGGTCATACCATGAGCTACCACTGCTTTACTGAACTTATCAAACCATGCACTAGGATACTGTTTGAGGCCATAGACAGACTTCTTGAGATGACACAGACACTCCCCTTTATACTCAAACCCAGGTGGTCGAGTTATATAGCCCGTCTCATTAAGGTCACCGTGTAGAAATGCATTTTTAACATCAAGTTGATGAAGTGGCTAGTCTAGATTAGCTGCATGAGAGATTATCACACGAACATAATTCAGTTTGGCCACAGGAGAGAACGTCTTAGTATAATCAAGGCCATAAGTCTGAGTGTAGCCTTTAGCAACAAGTCGAGCTTTGAGACTGTCAACAGTACCACCAGGCTTCTGTTTAATAGTAAAAACCCAACGACAACCAACAACCTGAGTATCAGTAGGCTTAGGAACAAGGTCCCAAAGTATGATTTAATTTTAAAGCGTTTATTTCTTCTTCCATAGCTTTCCTCCACCCAGGATAAGAAAGTGCCTCCCTATAGGACTTAGGAAGAGCAATAGAGGATAATGACAAAGAAAAGCTTGAAAGGAGGAGGACAATTTATTATACGATACAAAATTGGAGATAGGGTGATTGGTAAAAGACCGTTTACCTTTCCGAACAACAATAGGTTGATCAAGATCATAGTCCGCAGAGATGGAAGAATCTCTAGGCGTTGAAGCGACTGGCGGAAGTGGCAAGGCTGGGTTTACTACTTCAGTCGTTGGAACATGATTAACTACTCTTATTCGGCGACAAGCATGGAGACAAAGAGCTGGTGGGATGTCAGAATAAAAAACTGGAGTTGTAAGAACAGACTCGTGAAAACAGAGTCCTCCAAACGACTGCCTTCCTGGGAATAATAAGGAACATCCTCAGAGAAAGTTACATCTGCACACACAAATTGATTGTTTACGAAGAGTTGGATTGTAACATATATATCCCTTTTGAGTGCGAGAATAACCTAAGAAAATACATTTGTGAGCACGATGATCAAGTTTGTCTCGTCCCGGACTTAGATTATGAACAAAACAGACACACCCAAACACCTTTGGAGGAATGGAAAAAGGGTTTTTGTCAGAAAACATCATTTGGAAGGGTGATTTTCGTTGAAGGACCCTAGAAGGCATGCGGTTTAAAAGATAAGTAGCAACTAGAATTGCATCTGCCCAAAAATGTTTTGGAACATGCATTTGAATTATTAAGGCACGAGCGATAGCTAGAAGTGGGCCATTCTTCCGTTTAGCAACTCTATTTTGTTGTGGGGGTATCAACACAAGATGTTTGATGGATAATGCCCCTCGACTCAAGAAACTTTTGAAAAACATTAAGTTTATATTCAAGGGCATTGTCAGTTCTAAGAACAAGTAATTTTGCATCAAACTGATTTTGAATTGCAACATAAAAGGATTGAAAAACAGAGAATACTTGAAATCTATCTTTAAGAATATAAACCCAAGTTAAATGTGAATAATCAACAATAAATGAGTAAATAACGAGCACCAAATAAACTAGTAGTACAAGCTGGTCCCCAAACATCCGAATATACTAACTCAAAACATTTTAAACTTTTATTATCAAAATGAGACTTAAAAGTAGTCCCACGATTTTTACCAAGTTTGCAAGTAGTACAATTAAACTTAGAAAAATCAACTAAAGAAGGGACCAAAGCTCGAAGACTATTTGAAGAGGGATGTCCAAGGCGGTAATGCCACTGATAAGCTGAAGAGGAGGTGGAATGTAGAGTTGTTGGAGTAATAGTTGGCTGGAAGTAGTAAAGACCATCCTTGTCAAACCCCCTACCAATCGTCTTCTTCGTCTTGAGATCCTGAAAGACACAACGGGAAGGAGAAAAAGTAACTGAGCAATTTAAATCTGATATGATTTTGCAAACTGACAATAAATTTGAATGAAAATTACAGGATATATAAAACTAATGAAGAAGTGAGACCCGAAGTGCGGAAGGTACCAATTCCATGAACAGGTGATTTGGCACCATTCGCTATAGTAACAACCGATGGTGAGAAAACATGAGAAATATCAGAAAGAAGAGATGGGTTACCTGTCAAGTAATTGGATGCCTTTGAATCAATGGTCCAAGGTGTAGAAGATGAAGCATGAAGACACGTATTACTTGAAGTAACGATAGTAGCAGTGGAGGAGGGCTGATTTGCACGCTCACGCTTTACAAGAGAATCATATTCGGCTTTGGAGAGAATGACTTGTTGGGATTCCTTAGTATCCATCACTAGAGTTGCTGAACAAATGAGATATAGTAGCGAGCGGGAGTCGAGATAAGAGAACCGAGATCCCGCCGAGATGAACCCGAGAGAAATTATTGAGGAGAGAGTCGAGGAGGGATCCGAGAGAGATTGCCAAGATGAGAACTGAGATCATCGAGAAGAGAATGCCGAGAGAAAGCCGAGATGGAATCAAGATCGGACAGTCTGAATAAGACTAAAAAAAAATAAAAAAATTTAAAGAGGGATCGATTTCCGCTCTGATACCATGTTGAAAGAGAGAGAGAGAGAATATATGAAAACATATATGTTATTGAGTCAGTAATACAATAATACAATGGTGTATATATAGGAGAAGCTACGGAAGTAGGTGAGTGGACAACAAGTAAACCCTATACATGTTAATTCTATATTTGGTAATGAGGGGTAGGTGACAACTCATAGAATACTAACTGTACACGTGTGACAACTCATACAATACTGTACAACGTGACAACTCATACAATACTATACAACAATATTCAAACCAAAAGCTGACACAGATGTTATGAGTCGTCTTCTTTTTTTTTTTTTTCCCCGGTAATTTTGTTCACATCGTAGATCTGGACATCTTCCGTAAAGAAGCCAAATGAAACCAGAGTTTCATGTTCAGTTCTGAATTGTGTTGTGATTCCTGGAATTGATTGAATTATGGGGAGCAATTGGATTTGCTGTTCTGATGTTGTGGATTTAATTTTCATTGTCTATTATTGGCTAGATTTCTCTGAGGGCACGCAATGGCAAGATTGCTCCATTGTGACCTAGAGGTTACGGGTTCGAAACAAGGCCAGAATATATTTGCGCTGAGAGAGAAGCAAGCCTTCTGAATGATAATTAGCCTCAATGCCTAGAAAATAATGTAAGGAGCCTAAATCTTTGAGAGCAAATTCAGAGCCAAGGGTCTTGATTTGTTGTGATATCTGTGCTTCTTGATTTCCTGTGATGAGAGTATCATCTACATAAACAAGGACATAAATAAGGATGGATCCAGTATGATAAATAAACAATGAGGTATCAGTTTTGGATCCCACAAAGCCATAGGAAATCAAGAAGGAACTTAGTCTATGAAACCATGCACGCGGAGCCTATTTCAATCCATACAATGTTTTTCGCAAATGTAGTCTGGAAATTGAGGATCAACAAACCCAGGAGGTTGGCTCATGTAGACATCTTTTCGAAGGTTGCCATGAAGAAATGCATTGTGCACATCGAGTTGTTTTAGAACCCAATTATGAGACACGGCAAAGGAAATGACTGTCTGAATAGTAGTTGGTTTGATAACAGGACTAAAAGTCTCTGTAACCCTTCTTGCTGATTGTAGCCTTCAGCAACTAAACGAGCTTTATAGTGTTCTAATGAACCATCTGCATGACGTTTAATTTTGAAAATCCATTTGCACCCAATGACATTCATTGAAGACTTCCGTGGAATACGAGTCCATGTCCCATTGTGAAGAAGTGCATTGAATTCCTCTCTCATTGCAGTCCTCCAATTTTCTGATTTATTTGCTTCAGTAAAACAAGTTGGTTCAGTTCCACTGGCTGCGATTTCAGTGAGAAAAGCAGTGGGCAAAGGATGTTTGGTATGTGAAAAAACTCTAGGTCGACGAGTTCCATCTTGGGATCTAGTTGTCATGGGGTGGATTCGGGAATGTTGAGAAATATCAGTAGGAAGATTTGAAGTGGAGACATTTACGGGAGATTTATCAGAACAGGAACTAGATTCATGTGTTGAGTTATGTGGGTTTATGGGGTAAGTTGTAGGTGGATGTAAGGGCCTTATGGTGTCGGTAGCTTGTATGGTAGATGGAGTTGAGGTAGGTAAGGAAGATGGAATATTACGTGAGTGATTAGTGGGTGTGATAATTTGAGGTGATGTATCAATGTCAATTGTTTGGTAATTGTGGTTGTGATGGGACCATTTTTTGATGCGTTAAGAGGATAGGAGGAGTAACACAAGTAGAAGGAGACGAAGGTGCTGGAGAAGATGGAACTGCAAATGGGAAAACAATCTCATAAAAAACAACATGACGTGAGATGAGAAGCTTGCTGTTAGAGCGGTTTAGGCATTTATATCTTCGATGCCTAGCATTGTAGCCAAGAAAAACATGTTTTGAGGAACGAAATTCCAATTTATTTTTGTTGTAAGGTCGTAAACACGGGTAACATGCACATCCAAAAACCCGTAGAAGAGAATAATCTGGATTGGTCTTGAATAGCTTACAAATAGGAGACTCATTTTTATTAGCTGAAGAGGGGAGCCGATTGATTAAGAAGACTGCAGTTTCAAAAGCATGATGCCAGTAAACTTGAGGAACAGATGTATTTGCCATTAAAGATAGTCCAGTTTCAACAATGTGTCGATGACGTTGTTCAGCTGCACCATTTTGTTCATGAGTGTGTGGACATGATAATCTGTATTCAATACCACAATCATTCAAGAATGATGACACCTTTTGATATTCACCACCCCAGTCACTTTGAAAGCACTTGATTTTTGTTTCAAACAAGTTTTCAACGAGCAATTTAAAATGCTTGAACACAATCAAAACATCAGACTTCTGAAAAAATGGAAAGATCCATATAAATGTACTATAATCATCTACAAAATGAACATAATACCGATGTCCATCTGAGGAAGATATAGGAGATGGACCCCAAATGTTGGAATACACCAGATCAAGTGGTTTAGTACTAACTGAAGTAGATAAATGAAACGGCAATTTGTGACTCTTCCCTTGCTGGCATGCTGAACAAATTCCACCAGATCTTTTATTGACAATTGGAACTCCAGATCGAGCAAGAACCATACGAACTATTCGTAGTGCAGGATGGCCTAGTCTTTGGTGCCATTGGTCTAATGTGGCTCACCAACAAAAGCTTTGTGGCTACCTTTATTAGCTGCCAGACAATTTATTGCTAACTTGTAGACCATCTTTATTCCAGACCTTTGAGTAGATGCCTCCCCGTGACTCGATCCTTAATAAAAAAATGATCTGGGTGAAATTCAAAGGTAACGTATTATCACAAGTAAAACGAGAAGCAGATAACAAGTTGCGAGTGATAGATGGCATATGTAGAATATCTTTCAGAATTAGATTATTGCCAAGAATTGGAATTTTAGAAGAACCAATGTGTTTTATTGGCAAACCTGAACCGTCACCAATCTTCACACATTCTGGTCCATTATACTCGGAATGGAGTGAGAGATTTGAAAGATTTGTTGTGATATGATCTGTAGCACCTGAATCTGGATACCACGCAGTATCATTAACTGCAGCAGCTGCATGAAACGCATTGACTCGAGGCTTGGTTTCATTTTGAATGGTATGATCAAAACGATAGCGACATTGAAGAGCTGCATGACCATATCGATTGCAAATCTGACATGTTGGCTTTTGATTTGAAGAGGATCCAGTAAATTGGAAATGTTTGTGACCGCGTCCACGACCACGACCGCTATTTTGATTTCCTTGTCCACGACCATGACCTCTTTGGTTATAACCACGACCATTGCTGGAGTGATTTGTGATGGCTATGTTTGCCGAGTGATAAGGCAATTCAAGTGCATCATTCATCTCATTGAGACGGATTTCCTCACTAAGCAGCATACCTTGGAAATCAGCCAAGGTTAGTGGTTCTTTTTGAGTGGTGACAGAAGTCACAAAGGGTCCATATTCAGGACCCAAGCCACGTAGCATATGAAGAATCAGATCTTCTTCAAGTGCTGGCTTAGAAGCTGCTGCAAGATTATCAGCAATTGTTTTTGCCTTCAAGAAATATACTGAAATGGAGTCATTACCTATCTTGAGAATTTGGAGTTGGTAACATAATTGCATAATGCGATTTTTGGAATGTGAAGCAAATGTATGCTCCAAGTGCATCCATATTTCATGGGATGACTGCAAACCAACAACATGTGTGAGAACACTTTCAGTTAGAGAAGATATAATCCAACTCACGAGGAGTTGGTCTTTTCGCTGCCACGCCATAAAGTCAGGATTAATCTGGATTTTTTTGGTTTCTTCGTTTCGAACAAATTCTGATGGGCACTTGGAAGTTCCATCAACAAATCCGATCTGATCATAGCCTTTCAAGAGGGGCAGAAATTGTGTACGCCACAACAGATAGTTTGTGTTGTTCAACTTGACATTGAGAACATGTTGGATGTTGGGTGTAGGAAGGAGAAAAGAAAGTGAGGCAGTGTCACTGGCAACATTCTTGTTACTGGAATTCTGGGCCATGGTTAAGAAAGGAACTGGCTCTGATACCATACAAAGAATATAGTAGTCAAGAAGATACTTAGAATGCCTCACCAGTATTTAAATAGAGTACATTGGTTACATTTCCATATTGAATACATCAATCGAGGAACTATAAAAGGTAGAGTTCCATGATTGCATAAATTAAGGGCCTATATACACATATTATTCACATGGGTAAAACAAGAGTCAAATTTGGACTGATTTGGTGCGTGTGGATCTGCTATCAATCATGACTCCTTTACAGAAACAACCTTGCTGCATGCAGAGGTAAGGTTGCATACATCTGACCCTCCCCTGACCCACAATGGCAGGAGCCTTGTGCACTGGATTTGCCCTATTTTAATTTTTTTCTCTATTAGTGGCTCTAGTCAGGGCTGGCTATTCCACTAGGCAACTACGGTAAATGCCTAAAGTCCCACATGTAAAAGAAATCTTACTATAGTTCTCTATGTGAACCATATTGTACGTTTAAACTCTCACCGTCTTCTTTGTGAACCACATTGTACGTTTAAACTCTCACCGCCTGTTATGCGGACTGATAAAAAATATTAGATTTAAGGTATAAACTCAATTCAATGTCGATACTACATTAAAAATACATGTTGTCTAATAAAATTTCAATTTTGAAGAATAATCTACTTTACTTTTCCTTTCCTCATGCTTTTTCTTATTCTTCTGGACTTCTCATTTTATATCATCTTTCCTTCTTCTTTTATCCTTTTCACTATTTAATTTATAAATAGTGAAAAGGATAATTCTTCTGGACTTCTCATTTTTTATCATCTTTCCTTCTTCTTTTATCCTTTTCACTATTTAATTTATAAAATATTAAAAGACTCCTAATTAATGCCTTATACCTCAACTTATGTCAAGCCAGCCCTGGCTCTAGTTCAAGTAGTACCGCTTTTTAATGGTTCCATGCACTTTTCAGGCACTTCCTTACATATTCCTTTGTGGTTATTAGAATATAATCCATCACTTTACTCTCTACAGGTTAAAGTATGTGACATTTGTGGCGATGCAGGTCGGGAGGATTTACTTGCTGTATGTAGTACGTGTAGTGATGGTGCGGAACACATGTATGTTTGTGGAGTTCTGTTTAGTGTTTTTCTACTGGATTCTTTTATTAGTTATCTATTCTATGGAAATATATATCTATGTTCAAAATAATTATTAATTTTATTGATGTTACCCAGCTATTGCATGCGGGATACACTGGATAAAGTACCAGAAGGTGATTGGCTGTGTGAAGAATGCAAGTTTGATGAAAAAATTGAAAACCAGAAGCAAGTTAAATTTGTTATAGTGGATGGAAATGAAAGAAATCAATCTTCTGGACAAGTAATTACTGTTAATGCCAATCTCTTTAAGAAGTTGGATACAAAAGATTCTGATGTTGAGGGAAATAAAACTATTGAGGATATCTCCAGTGCAAAAGCCTCTGTTAAAAGACATGCGGACAACATAGAAGTCGCTTCAGCAGCAAAAGTGGATGGAAATGAAAGAAATCAAGTAATTACTGTAAATGCCAATCTCTTTAAGAAGTTGGATACAAAAGATTCTGATGTTGAGGGAAATAAAACTATTGAGGATGTCTCCAGTGCAAAAGCCTCTGGTAAAAGACATGCGGACAACATAGAAGTTGCTTCAGCAGCAAAAAGGCAGTCTCTTGAACCATTTGTATTATCACCAAAGATGTCCAGTCCCAGCAGAATTGCTGCACTTTCTCGTGATTGTTCATCCAAGAACTTAGATAGGGAGAAAGTGAAATTAGCCCAACAATCCGCTTCTGGACCTCCCTCAGTTTTTGATACTCCAGAAACTGCATGCTCTCCTACTATAGGTCCACTACTCCAAACACCTCGAGGTAAAGTTCTTGAAATTTACTGGTTTTGCATAATATATTTAGTGTCGTTAGGTGGAAGCTGCGAACTGTTTATTGTGATTTCTTCTTTGATTTTCATGGTTTTATCATCAAAAGCTGTTATTCCTGATTCTTTGGCAGGAATTTTTATGAAGTCTAGTTCATTCAGTTCCTCAAATGCAAAACCAAAAGTTAAACTTGTGGATGAGGTTGTTCTTCAAAAGCAGAAATCAGCTAGAGAACATGCTTCCCTTGATATGAAAAAGGGGAGCGCCAGATTGATGGGCAAATCTATCTCCTTCAAATCTGCAAACTCAAGCCGTCCAAATGCTTCTGAATTAAAAGTCAAGATGCTGTCCCCTAAATTTTCTCATGGTCAGGATCTGAAAGGATTAAAAAAAGGTAAAAACTGGAACTCAGTTGAAAGGAAGAGTTCATTCAGATCAGAACGACCATTTGTTAATTCAGCTACAGTCTCTACTACAAGAGTTGATCAAAAACTTGCCTCTCATGGTGAAACTTATCCAGTGTCTTGTGGAAGCAACAATCATGAGTTGAAGACTTTGCAATCTGACAGTAAATTAACTACATCATCAAAATTAACCAGTCACTTAGCTCGTCTAGATTCAGAAATGCCAGTTGCTTTAGGTATGATTTTACAATGTTTCCTAGTACTGCGGCATATCTATTTTTTTTGTATCTCTTTTTTGCCTTTCTTATTGTTTGTTATAGTTGGTTTCTTTTGCTGTCAACCCACATCAGGTGAAATCAAGAGGCAGTCTTCATGCTCACCCAGCATTGGAGCTTCATTGCCTAATGAATCTAGCAGTTCTTTGGAACAAAAGCCAAATCAGATCAGCCCTAAGGATGATCCCTCGTCAAGTATTTCTTTTAATGCTGAGAGACCATTTTGTAATGTTAATAGAAGTCTACAAGATGAGTTACCTTGCCCCCAGGAACCACTGAATCTTGGTGATAAAATAAAGGAAAATTCTCTTAGTTGGTTAAGGACTATTATGACTGGTGGAAGAAGTGTTGCATGTCAGAAATGTAAAGAAATTGGTCATTCTGCACAATTTTGCACAGTTGACAGTCCTCGGCCACTTGCTGTTCATACATCTACTGCAAGAAATTCAGGAGAGTTGATGCATGGAGGTAATAAATTGAAAGCTGCAATTGAGGCGGCTTTGCTTAAAAAGCCTGGAATAGGCAGAAAGAACAGAGATCCTTACCAATCTGATGATTTGTCCATGTCAAGCACAAACTTCAATTGTGAAAGAGCTTCTCAAAATAAATTATCGATCCCAGGTAACATGAGAACTGCCGATGAGATACAGGAAGGGCAAGCATTATTATGGAATTCTACTGCTGACTCTTGTAAAAAGACTACAGTTAACAGCATGAAGCAGTTCTCGGCGGTCCCTACTGAGGCTGTTAGTTCCAAAACAAGAGATACTAGTGATGGAAAGCCTTGCACAGTTGACTTGCCATGTCAGGTTTCAGCGGTAATTTCTAGTATTTTGAAGATGTCAGCAATTCCGGAGCATCAATGTATTTGGCAGTACGGTCTCCTTTTCCTTTTCTATGTTCAACTTGATTTTCTTTTTTTTTATTTTTTATTTTTATTTTCCGGAGACATTGCATTTTTCTTTCCTTTTTTGCTTAGGGATGGCAACGGCTCAGATTTCAGATGGGTTTCCCTAAACCCTACCCCGCTCCAATTACCAAATCCTTATCCCATCCTCATACCAAACCCGGGATGGGTTCATACCCCTTGTCCCAATCCCGCCCCAGTAGTGAAATTTATAGTCCAGTCTCACCCCATCGACCCTATATATAGTACATATATAGAGATCTGTAAATATAAACCAAAGCACATATAAAGCAAAAGAAAACCCTTGATAAATATATATATATACACACACACCTTTCTATGTATGTAGAGAGAGAGAGATTACCATGACTAACTTCCTGGTGTTAGGTCGATTGCTGTAATCGTGACTAGCCCCTGGGGAGGGGAGCTTGCAGAAAAGGGATGACTGTAAACAATTTTCTTGTTGTAAAAGTTATTGTTACTTGCCATAAATGATTGCCAATCAAAAGGCTCTCTCAGATGAACACGGATCAGAGGAGAAACAAGAGTGAAGTTGGGAAATTAGGGCCGTCGGCTGAGAGTGGAATTGGGGTTGTGGGGCAGCTAAATAAAATAGAAACCCTAGGTCTCTAAGGAAATGAGAGTTAAAAATGATATATACAAGAAAGGGCCTTTTAGGTATATAAAACAAAACAACTACAATTTTGTTATTTAATTGGGACGGGGCTGCAACACCTGTCCCTGCCCCAAACCCGGATCGGACTAATATTATTTTTTACCTGCCTACTTTCCTTTTAAGATACCTGCACCACTAGGGGCAGGGTAGGGTGGTAACCTGCCGGGTTGGGCTTATTTGCCACCCCTACTTTTGTTGGACTCACCTGAAAATTGCAAAGTGAGTTTATGTTGGACCATCTTGAATATTGGCTTTTATAAGCTTTTGTCCTTTTCCATACAGAGGGGGTTTTGAGGTTCACAAAAGTGGTAAACTGCCAGAGTTTTGTTATGGAATTCAAGCACATTTATCAACTTGTGCATCACACAGGGTTCTTGAAGTGGTGAACAAGTTTCCCCACAAGGTTCTGTTGAATGAAGTACCTCGCATGAGTATATGGCCAATACAATTTCAGGAAAGAGGTGTTAAAGAAGATAACATTGGACTCTATTTTTTTGCTAAAGATATGGAGAGGTAAATGGTTCTCTCTCTTTCTCCATCTAAATTATGCTCCCTAATTTATATATTTTCTTCTTTTTCCTTTTCCTTTTTCTTTTTTCCTTTTATTTTATTTTAGTTTATTTATTTTATGTAAATGGCAAATGTTGCTTATGATGCAGCTATGAGAAGAGCTATAAGATTTTACTGGAGAGCATGGCGAAGTGTGATCTAGCTCTCAAAGGAAACATCAATGACGTTGAACTTCTGATATTCCCATCCAACAATCTTCCTGACAAATCCCAGCGTAAGAATTAATCATGGTATTCTCTCTCTATATGCACAAACTTGTTGCAAGAACAGATTTAAGACTATAGTGGCTCACAGCTTGATGCTCTTCCCAAGGTGAAGCTCCTGGAAAACACCAGCTGTGAGGCATGTTTTCTTAATGATTGTAGTTGAAACTGTTATAACTCGTCTATAAATGCTTCACATTTTTTGGCTTCCTTTATTGTTGAAAATTGAGATGTTTCTAACATGAAACCAAATGGAAACTGGTGCCTTTCAACTCAATAAGATCTTGTCCCCACTACTTGGGGCTGGCTACCCGAATCCTTTTTCTACATTTTATCTAGGCCAATACCAATAAAGTATGTACAGTCTCTTCTGAGAGCTTCGACCTAGTTCTTTTCAGCCTTCAGTTAGTATTGCCTTCATATGACTCTGTAGTTTGCAGCCATTAATATTTATTTCATATGATCATTACATCATAGCTTCCTACTTCATATGAGGGCTAAATACAAGGGCTTTAGTAGGTTATATAAAAAACTATATCTTTATGTGAGGGTATGTCCCTCACTTCTTCCATTGTACAAATTGCTTTATCTTAAATGGAATCATCTCATTTAGGGGGAAAAAAAAACTATATCTTTATCTTAGAGCCTCAAGTTATCTTTAATTTTCCTTTTTCAAGTATTAACTTGAGGAGTTATTGCTATGGTTGTTCAAGTGAGTTTTGAGGTATGGCCCACTATAGAGAGTAGTGTTTTCGTAATGGCTTCAACTTGTATCATATGATTCCTTACTGTTGTAGGCTTGCAGCTATTAATCTTTATTTTATGTGATGTAATCATCTTAGCTTCCTATTTTATGTGAGGGCTATATATAAGGGCTTTAATAAGCTATAACAAAAACTTTATTTGTTATAGCCTCAAGTTATCATTTGTCTTTTTTCTTTTTCAAGCATTAACTGAGGGGTTATTGCTATGGTTGTTCAAGCAAGTGTGAGCATGCAGATGTGATTCTTAGGGTCACTTAGTTTAAATATTGCCTGTCCAAACTTTAGCACAACATCCTCTTTTTTGTGTTATGCTGATAATGTGAACTATTTCACTAGAATTCTGGTTTTATTTAAATTGTATTATTTAATAATTCACAGGTTGGAATACAATGTTCTTTCTATGGGGTGTGTTCAGAGCAAAGAGGGTGAATTGCTCGCAGCGTGTGCCTGGTTCTCCCAACAAGTTTTTTATCCCAAGAGATGTTCCAAGCGCTATCATGTCTTTGCCGGATAACATATGTTCACTTGGGCCTATAGATAAGAAATTTTCTGCACATGAAAAATCTTGTGATGTAGCTCTAGCCTCCAAGGCTCCTGCCTCGAGAGAATTATCATGCTTATCATCTGAAACAAATGGGGATTGTGTTATCGAAGTATCTTCCTTCAACCTGAAGGGTCAGTGTGCACAGGCAAATGTGGGGCAGCAAGATTGCAGACTTGATTCTGCTTCCTTGTCTAGGATTCAAACAATCAGCGAATTGTTGAGCCCAGGAATGAACCACAGTAATATTTCACTGGTAATTTTAACATCCTTTACATATGCATATAGCTTGACAGACTAAGCACTAGTTATCTCTCTCTCTCTACATATATATATTAACCTATCTGTATATTTATGTGTGTATATATGTATGTAGGTATTTATGTGTGGTTTTTCCTACATTTTTTCACTTAATTCCATTTTAATCCTCTGCTTGGGGGACAAGCTTGTATGAGTTGTTTACAGTGTCAGGTGTTTCTCTTTACAATAAGTAACTTTTTTAGAATTGCATGCACATATTATTTGTTTTGTACTATCTATTGACACTGTCTGATTTTGGTTAAGAGGTTAAGTTATGAAACTTAACTGCAATTCCTTTTCTTTGTCCCCTTCAAAAACTCAATTGTAATTCTTAACTATCTCTCTATTTTGTAACGAGTTTGTGTAGCTTAGGACATAAAAAAAGAAAAAAAAAACACTTTGACTGAGTTCCCCTTTCAATCAGTTCCTGGTTATGCTTTGATCCCTGCTCTTTTTGGTTTTTTATATCTCTTTTAGTGCAAACTTGAATAACCAACATCGATCGAAGAGTTGTATGCCAGACATTTAGCTCTCCTTATAGGGAGCAGCATTGTCATAGAAAGTGTGAGTGTAGGGAAAATTGTATGCCAAGGGCCCATTCTTGCGAGTTTTGAATATTTATAACATAAAACTATATAATTTCTTATGTAGCTACTGTGAGTGAAAAAAATAACAAATAAAAAATAAATTTTAGATCTGTAACTTTTTAATTTCATTAAAGAAAATTAAGGGCACCTTAGGCTTATAAACATGGTTATAATATGTAATGTAATCACATATATGATAAAACACACAATTAAAGGTGGTAGAGCCTATTTTTTATTTTATTTTTTTAAACAAGGAGATTTTCTTAAGATAAATAAAAAAATGCAAAACCAGCATTATAAAAGCTGTGAATTGTGGTTGACTTTTTTAACCACAATGCATATTCGTTTATTTAACAAAAAGCCTTTTTAGAGCACAGTAAATATTTTTTTTTGATAAGTAAGAATTTATAAAAAGGCGTTCAAAAGGGGAACGCATCCCTCAAAAACAAAAGAAGGCCAAATAGGGCCTCTAAACCCTCATCAGATCCAAAAACTCTACAAGCTTGACAAAGAGTTGACAAAGAGGGCCGTATCCCCTGCTCGTTTGGGGCAAACTGCATTGCATCATACATGGATACCTAAAAGTACGTTTTTGTGCCTTAGGAATAGTGTGCAGTCATGAAGATTTTGCGCATTAGGACTTAGGAATAGTGTAGTCCCCAATCCATATGCCTCCCAGGAGGCTGCTTAATGGATAGTGCCTCACCTCAAGGTGTGCCTCAAAAAGATCTGTTAAAACAATGAGTAACAGTTAGCTTGATGTGGTTGACATTTAATTTGTGTTTTAAATTGATCAGTTGCTGTAATAATTTTTTATGGTGAAGCTGTTTAGAAGTCAAGGGTGTTTTTGTGACCTTTTTGTTGGACATGTTCTGTACCGCTTTAGTGGCAGTCCACTGGTCCTATTATTGGTGTTATGAGTTACGGATGCCTCACGGATGTTCCAGGGGATCCCTTCCCGTGGAAGGCTGTTTGGCGTTCAAAGGCCCCCCTCAACGTCGCTTTCTTTGTCTGGACAGCATTGGTGGTGATTATTCTGACCCTGGATAACCTGAGGAGGAAGAGACAGATTGTGGTCAATTGGTGTTGCATATGTAAGAGAGATGAGGAGACGGTTGATCACCTTCTTTTGCATTGCCCAGTGGCATGGGACAGCAGGGGATTGTTATTGGCTTTGTTTGATGTCCAGTGGGTTATGCCCAGGTCCTCAAGAGGCTCGGTGGAAGCTTGGAGAGGTTGTACGGTGGGGAACCCAAACCTGTGATATTAGGAGGGTGGCACCTTTGTGCGATTGGTGGTGTCTGTGGCTCGAAAGAAATAGGAGATCCTTTGAAGGAAAGGAGACTCCTATTGGAGCGCTGAAGTTCTCCTTTATTAGCACTCTTTTTTGTTGGTTTCTAGGGAAAATTGTAATTCCATGGGGGAGATTGTCGATATTTTGGGCTTTGAGAGAGTTTAGAGGCCCTATTTGGCCTTGTGTAGCTTTTGAGGGATGCGTTCCCCTTTTGAATGATTTTTTATATACACTGTTTCTTATCGAAACAAATATTGGTATTATGAGTCAATCTAAATTTCCTTCGGATGACATTAACTGAATTTTCCTTTTGGCAACAGCCTGCAAATGCTAGGGACAGCTTCTATGTGTACTGTGCAAGGAAGAGGGAACTACTTTCTAATTCCCCAAAATCAATGAAAGAGGCACTTCTTAGAATTCTTTTGCAACGGATGCCCAAAGACCAGACAAAAACTGAAACATTTCCTGATACAAAGCGGAGAATATTTATCGTCAAATATTCTAGAATTCTTTTCATTCCTTAAGACCTAATTATAGCCAAGATAGCGCAAGCCATAAGTTTTTGGTTATCGAGGCCTCCAAAAGATATCTCCCAAAGGTTTTTTGAAATCATGTTTTTGCAAAATAGGCCAAATTTATGGAAAAACATTTTTAGGCGCGCCTAGGCCAAATTTTTTCATAGGCTTGCAAATGCCCACAAGAGGGGCAACCATATTGGGCGGATCTATGTGGATGAGGTGGAGTTGTGTAGGGGGAAGGTGTGCAAGGGGATTGCTTCCTACCATCAGAGTCTCTAGTCTGAGACTTACGGTTGGAGACCCAGGCTTGGTGGTCTTCATTTTGACTCAATTTTAGTGTTGGATAGGGAGGGGCTTGAGATTCCTTTTTTATGAGGAGGAAATGTTGAAGGTGTTGAAGAGTTGTAATGGTGACCAGATGGTTTCACCATTAGATTTTTGTTGGAGAGTTGGGACGTGGTAAGGAGTGAGTTGATGGGCACTTTTCAGTAGTTCCATTCCCGTGGGCGGTTCGAGAGTCGTTGAACGCATCTTTCATTGCTGTCACTCCTAAGAAGGGTGGAGCTCCCGATGTTAAGAACTTTAGACCAGTAAGTCTTGTGGGGTGCATTTATGAGCTTATTGCTGAAGACCTTGCTCTGAGACTAAGGGAGGTCTTGGATGGTGTTATTCCAGAGTCCCAGAATGCTTTTGTTGGTGGCCAACATATTTTAGATTCCGCTCTTATTGCCAGCGAGTGTGTGGATTCTAGGCTGAGTAGTGGTGTCCCTAGAGTTTTGTGCAAACTTGATATTGAGAAAGCCTATAATAATGTTAGTTGGAGCTTTCTGTTGTATCTATTAGGGAGGTTGTGATTTGGAGAGAGATGGAGGAGATAGATTGAGGCCTGTATTTCCTCTGTCAAAGGTGAATGGGTCCCCTACGGGTTTCTTTGGCAGTTCGCGGGGCTTGGGACATGGGGATCCTCTATCTCCGTTTTTGTTCATTATTATTGAGGAGGGCAGTGAATTTGGGTTTTTGTTGGGTAGAGATTTGGTTCATCAGATGGTGATCTCCATTGTTTGTCGATGATATTTGTGTGGGAGGTTCATGATATTGTTTCTCTTGCTGCAGTTCTTGGGTATGGGGTGAGCTCCTTTCCTATCTCTTATTTGGGCTTGCCTTTGGGTACTCCGTCGAGGAGGTTGGGAGGTTGGGATCTAGTGATGGAGCGTTTTGAGAGAAGATTGGATGGGCAGAAGAAGCAGTATCTTTCAAAGGGCGGGAATGTTACTCTCATGAAGAGTATGCTGTCAAGTCTCTCTTTCAGATTCCTTCCTCTAGAGCTGGAAGGATTGGAAGACTTAAACGGAACGTCCTTTGGGGTGGTCGGGGGGAGTTCAAATATCATCTTGTTCGCTGGGAGCAAGTGTGTAGGCCGATTCAGTTCGGTGGTCTTGGTATTAAGAGGTTGGTCCCTTTCAGCAGGGCTTTTCTTGGCAAGTTGTTGTGGAGATTCAGAAACGAACGACATCGTCTTTGTAGGAGAGTTATTGCATGCTGTTTTGGGAAGGAGAGAGGCAGGTGGTCCTCTGACCCGGTTAGAATTGCTTGAGGTGTGAGCGTTTGGAAGTTCATTCGAAGGGCTGGGATGAACTTTCTAAACACATCAGATTTAGAGCACATGTTGGCAAGAGCGTTTGGTTATGGGAGGATTTATGGTGTGGCGATCGCCCGTTGTCTTGTTCTTTTCCAAGACTTTCCAGGATTGCCCACTGTTATCGGCTTGATAGCGGTAGGTGTTGACTTTAAGAGATAATCAAATCAAAAGTAAGGTATAAGAAGAATAAGAAAAAGAAAAGAAAGAGGATGAGAGAAAAAGAGAGAGAGATGGGGAAAGAGAGAGAGAATGAAAGAATACTTTCATCATTCCACCACATTATATTTATAGTAACAAGTTTCAGAAATTACACATAAGCCCCAACATTATATAGGTAATAACAAATAAGCCCCTGACAACACTCCCCCTAAAGCTGGTGCAAAGATATCTATCATGCCCAGCTTGACTAATATATTTTGCAAGCAAGTCTTGCTCACACCCTTAGTCAAAAAATATAAGCAACCTGATCATGTGTTGACGTATGGAGTACAAATCAGCCCAAGATGAAGCTTTTCCTTGATGAAGTGTCAATCGACTTCAATTTGCTTTATCATGTCATGTTGAATTGGATTGTGGGCAATGCTTATAGCAGCCTTGTTGACACAATACAACTTCATTGACTCGCGAACAGGATAACCCAACTCACCCAACATCGTTTGTAGCCTTAACAACTCACAAACTCCATGTGCCATGGATCTGAACTCAGCCTCTGCACTAGAACTAGCTACTGCACTAGAACTGCCTACTACAGACTGTTTCTTGCTTCGCCATGAATCAAGACTACCTCCAACAAGTGTGCAATATCCTGAAGTAGATCATCGATCTGTTACAGACCCTGCGCAATCAGCATCGGTGTAGGCTTTAACACGCAAGTGGCCATGATGGCCAAACAATATTCCTTTACCAGGTAAACCCTTG